CCACAGGTGTACAAACACACTAGGCCAGATCTTGGGAACTACATCCAAAGCTATTGCTTGGTGGCCTGCTAGGTCTTTGGGTTTGGTTTAAATCACAGAATAGAAAATACTAGCATTGGGATCCTCAGGTTCAATGAAAAAGCTCTGGTGACAGCTATTTCAACCTATCTCTGCAAGGGTAGCCCACACAATTTATTTCTAGAATCAAACCATTTATTTATTTATTTTGAAATTATAAGATTCTCTTTAGGCTACTAAGAAAAATGTTCCAACACAAGAGTAGCTTGCATTTTTCAGAATCACTGGCCACTGGCCTTAGAGGCAAAATGCCTTCAATATTCCCATATCCCATTGTTCCCAATGATTTAAATGGCATCAACCAAGTTCCTTAACATGTTATCAATTTCCTCATGTGTAAGCAGGCAAGATGATAGAATCTGTTAGAAAGGGTTGTTAGACTTAAGTTAATTAAAGGGCTTGAGGAATGCTGGATACAGAGTAGTAATCAATAAAATGTTAATTATCCTTTTAGGCTTATTACTTTGAATTTTCCAATTAAGTGATGGTAGACCAGAATTACTGCTTGTTAAAAGTAGTGCAGGATGTTCACTGCAGAAAACCAAAATTCAGGGGCAGACACCTCCTAGTCATTGACTTACATTCCCCAAAATCTTCTGGTACTTCAGCATTACAGTGTTGAAGGGATACCTTTTTCTAGTCACAAATTCCCTCTTTGGATTAGTAGTTAAGGCTGAGTGGGAGTGTATGAGCTTCAGTATGATTTCAATGTTGTACTGATAAAGTAGAATTTTCTTATCCATCTTAGACTACAGAATTTTAAGAGGACACTATCCAGTTTAAAACCATTTGATTAAAATACCATTAAAAAAAAATGCTGCTGTGTCTAAAAGTGTGTAATGAGTAGGTGGGACAACTCTCTTAAAAAGATGAGAGTTTCTGAAATAGTGGCTTTCTAATATTGTTGGTTGGACTGAAAATTACTACTACGTTTTGAGCAAACTATCACTATTTTACACTTATCTATTCCCTTTGTCACAATAATTTTACATCTAAAAAATTTGCGGTGCTGGACATGGAAGTTAGGCCTTAATGCATGCTAGGCAAACACTGTACAACTGAACTACAACCCCAGCCCTATCCTATTTAAACACAAGCACATGATAAATGCACAAAAGGCATTCACTGAAGCTTTATGGCAACAAACAAAATCCCAAAACTAAACTTCAAAGAAAAGTACTAAATAGTAGAGATACTTGAATATTGTTTTAGTCAGCTTTTTTGATGCTGTGACCAAAAGACCTGACAAAAACAATTAGGAGGAAATGTTTATCTGGGGGCTCACGGTTTCAGAAGTCTGAATCCATAGATGGCTGACTTCACTCCTCAGGGCCCAAGGTAAGGCAGGACATCATGGCCAAAGAGTGTGGCAGAGGAAAGCAACTGGGAACATCACACCAGAAAGCAGAGAGAGACTAAGCTCACAAAATATATACATCAAAGGCACAGCCCCAATGACCCACCTCCTTCAGCTATACCTTACCCACTTAGTAACCACTCAGATAATCTCTGTGGGGGATTAGTTCACTGATTGGGTTAAGGCAACAGTCATAATGCAGTCATTGCATTGTCTCACATGTGCTTTCGGTGGACACCTAATATGTAAACCATAACTAATATGAAGTACCAGTCCTTGTTTATAATCAACCAAAATAAGTCAAGGATATGCTTGGTCATTTACATTTGTGGGACTAGTCATAAGTTTATTATCTAACTAATGTTTCTTTCAAATGATTTTGCATTACATGTGACCTTTTTGCTGTTTGTTACGTGCTGTTTCAAATGAGCCCACAAATTTAAACAACTGGTTTTTCCTCATTTTATACAAAATGTACACAGAACACTCACAGAAACAGGAATTAAATTAAAAAACTAAATTCTGATACACAGGAAACAATAATTCCAAGTATTCTTTAACTATGTAGGAAGAACATTAGTCAGATTGTGCCCAGTCCCAATGTGCTTCTGAACAATTGACAGCAAAACAGTTCAATTGAGGCCTGATGGTGGTATCTTGGCCATAAAATTAGGTTCTAGTTTGGAGAACTGCAGAGCTAGGTAAGATAATGGAAAGAAATCCTCCTAGAAAAGGTACTGTCCCTTAACCATCATGAGCTGGAATTTGTCAAAAATGAAAATTCTTGCCAGGTTTGGTGGTCCACACCTGTGATCCCAGCTACTTGGGAGACTGAAGCAGGATGAGACCAGTCTGGGGAACTTTGAGATCCTGTCTCAAAGAAAAAAAAAAAAAAATCTGGGGTTGTAGTTCAATGGTAAGGCACATGATTAGCAAGTGTGAGGGCCTGAGTTTAAACCCTCCCCTACCCCCATGTCCTCTGGGTATATCTAATCCCTACCAAAGCTTTTCGTACATTTCTAAAAAATTACTAAAAAATTTCTCCTTAAAACCAACCCAAGCATCAAAATTATTAAATACTCCAGAAGATCTCTAGGAGAATCTGACACTTGCTTTAATAAATGTTTTTGAACAAAAACTTACTGAAACCAGGCATGATACGACACATCTATAATCCAGCCATTTCAGATGTGTGCCACAATGAAAGCAAGCCTTAGCAATTTAGTGAGGCCCTAAGAAACTTAGTGAGACCCTGTCTCAAAATAAAAAGTAAACAGAGCTAGGGATATGGCTGAGTGGTTAAGGACCCCTAGATTTAATCCCCAGTACCAAACAAAACAAAATCTACTATAAATTAGCATCTACAAGCAGTTGTTCACCATGCACATAAAGCCCAGGGTTCAATACCCAGTGCTAGGGGGGAAAAAAAAAGAAAAAAGTACTTATAATGTTGTTATAATTAAAAAATAGTTAACAAGCTTTGACTTGGTGATGAGTTGCCATAGGATAAAGCAGATTAAAAACCTTAATAAATACTGGCTCAACCACCTATGCCCTTAATATTAAGTTAATGGGGGCTGGGGTTGTAGCTTAGTGGTAGAGTACTTGCCTAGCACAGGTGAGGCACTAGTTTTGATCCTTAGCACCACATGAGAAAATAAATAAAAATTCTTATTTTTTTAAAAGTTCATGCTGTTCTCAAGGCATCTGCAGAAAAACCAGAAAGGGCATTCTTTAATCAGAATAACACATAAAATTAGTAATTTCTCCATGAGCCATATACTCATTAGTGAACATTAAAGCCTATTTTATGCCAGGAACAATTGCTGATAGTAAGAAGAGTTCTACTGAAGATGTCAAGCAATGCAGAAGGAATTTTTTAACTCTTCACAAATACCTCATTCCTTTAAACAACCCAATTACAGATAAAGAAAAACAGATTCTATGAGTTTATTTACCCTAGTACTTGGCTACTGTGTGCACCTTCTACTTACACTACCTGAGACCTTGCTAAAAATGCTGTCTGTCATGGGTGCTAACCTAGACTTGATTCAGATCAATATAAGTTTGAGACACTTGGCCTAACTGCATGTCATTTAAGTGATAGAGTTGGGATAAAGGATGAATCCAAGTCACAAGCTTTTTTTTTCGGGTAGTGCTGGTTATTGCGCATGGCTGTGCACATGCCAACCAAGTTCTCTACCACTGAGCCACATTCCTAGCCATAGAATAAATGTTTTAAGAAAGGATTATTTTATGTGGGTTCATAGAAAATAATTCAAATTTGCTAACCAAAATTAGGTATAGGTGGGTGCAGTGGCATGGGCCTATAGTCTCACCTAACACAGAAAGGCTGAAATTTAAGGATCATATGAGACAGACTTTAAGGCTTTCCTCAGGCCTGTAGAGAACTATTCAAAACCACTAGAAGTTTTTAGTTAGCATTCTCAGTCTAAACTTTTTTCAGATGTAAAAGCTTTTGAATATACCACTCTTGGTAGATCAATGAATTACTTTCATGAAAGGTGTTAAAAACAGCCAGGTGTAGTGGCACATGCCTGTATTTCCAGCAGCTCAGGAGGCTGAGGCAGGAGGATCTTGGTTCAAAGCCAGCCTCGGCAACTTAGCAAGGTCCCAAGAAACTTAGTGAGACCCTGTCTCTGAATAAAATATAAAAAGGACTGGGCATGTGGCTCAGTGGTTGAGCACCCCTGGGTTCAATTCCTGGTACCAAAAACCATAAACAAAACAAAACAAACAAACAAAAGCCTCATACAATCTGGGACACATCCTACTGGGTACTACAAAACGACATTGTTTTCTCAAAGCAAAATAACCACACTATTAAAGCTAACAGCAAACTAGGAATCTGAAGTAGGGTTATTGACTTGCTTGTGGTCACAAGAAAAGCAGAAATCAAAGCTAGAGTCTCTAGCTTCTTCCGTCTGCCAAATGCTTTTATTGACTCTTACTTCAGCATTATGTCCACAGGATATAAAGAGGCAAGATATAATAGTTTGATAAACTTATGACTGTCATGATGATACAGAAAACAAGTTTCTGTTGGCATAATAAATACTGTTTTAAAAAAGTAAAGATCTTTCTCTAGCATTCTTTTGTAAGTTTATGCCTCATTTCTACTGACATTTTTTTCTCTCCAACTGTTTTCCAAGTGACATTGTTTTTCTTTTTGGTACTGAAAACTGAACCAGGGTGTTTTAGTAAGTTACAAACACAGTTTCTTCCTTTTTCTAGAAGAGTCCCTGAAATGGTTTGTTCACCTAATTTTAAATCTGAACATGAAACAAATCTTTATTTAAATAAATACAGAGCGTGGGTGGGTGGGTGGGTAGGTTATGAAAAATAGTCCAAAAAAGTAATAATGAGGTACTTAAATCGGTCCAATTTATCATAATTACAGCCTTCCAAAAGACTGTTTCAAATTAAGCATACCATTAACAACTTTTCAACTATAATGATCAAAACAATAATCACCAGATGTCAAATAAAGTATAGAAAAGACCAAAGACTCACTACTTAAATGTCAAAAGATCACAGACCTGCCTTAAAATACAAAGAAAATATTTTTATTTATATATCAAAGACTCTAACAAATGTTGACATAATAAGGTTAACAAGAGTTGACATAAAGACACAAGTGTGAAAAGCTAGAGATGATTAATCACTGTTTCATTCAACCTCTCCTTGATGATTTTAGAGAGCATCTCTGGCATACTCCCAACCGAATCTTAAGCATGATGTTTCCAGGTGCCAAAATTGTTTCCTTTTCCATTAGTCCTCAATGTCTTTCTTCTTCTTCTTCTTCTTCTTTTTTTCTGGACTCTGAAATAAGCAAAAAGAATGCTTTTTAAAGAGCTGCAATTGTATGCATGAGGAATAACTTTTCCTTATAAAATACATCAATGTCCCTTAAACAAATTTGGGAGTAAGACTAAAATATAAAAATGACCCTGGAGTGTGGCTCAGTGGCCCAGCACTTGCCTTATGTGCATAAGGCTCTGGGTTCAATCCTGAGCACTTAAAAAAAAAAAGTAAATCATGTTTTCTTCCTTCCTCAAAGCAAACTTTTTTGTAATAAGAAAATAAATTTGGAAAATGGTCTTTAAAATGGGAACCTTGGCACACGCCTGCAATCCTAGCAGTTCGCAAAGCTGAGAGGCAGAATACCAAGTTCAAAGCCAGCCTCGAAACTCTTCGAGGCCCAAAGCAACTTAGCAGGACCCTCTATCAAAGAAAACAAAATAAAAACCTGGGCATTAATAGTACAAATAAGACAATTTTATTTACTCCCCCATCAATGAAAACCATTTTTTTAAATGCTTACTCATTTCTCATAGAGAAGAGATTAAAATATGGAGACTCTGCCCACACTGAGACAGTACTGGTTAGTTAAAAAACAGGAATTATTTAAACATACAGGAATTGCTGTGCTGGTACACGGCTCTTCCTCAGAAACTGGTTCTTCTTTAATGTGTTTCTTTTTATCCTTTTTCTTCTTCTTCTTGGTAGATGTCTCTTCTTCTACTAGTACTACTTCTTCCTCCTCCTCTTCAACTGAATTGGGTAAGTACAAAGATCTAACAATTAACATTCAACCACACCTCAATCCACCCAAAATCTTCTTGGTTTTTTTTGGTCATTCTGGTCAACTATTCAATATTTATATCCATCTTGTAATTGAAAATGTCCTTCAAGGACTACTTTTTCTAATGCCATGAACTTTACAAATGATACAGATACAGCTCAGAGATACATACTTCTCTCTTAATCATGCAGTTACATATAAAACTTAGGACTAAAACAAAGGCTATCAGATTACCAATGCCATTGTTTTGGCAAGGAGGCAATTACATTAGAAATGGTTAGGAGATGGGCTGGGGTGTGGCTCAGTGGTAGAGTGCTTGCCTAGCATGCATGAGGCACTGGGTTCAGAGTGCTTGCCTAGCATGCACGAGGCACTGGGTTCGATCCTCAGCACCAATAAATGTAAAATAAAGATATTGTGCTCACCTAAAACTTGGGAAGGCTGAGGAAGAGGATTGCAAGTTTCAAAGCCAGCCACAGAAACTCAGGGAAAATATTCTAAATATTTCATTTAGGAAATAAAAAGGGGTGGATATAGCTCAGCGGTTAAGTGACCCTGGGTTCAATCCCTGGTACCAAAACAAATAAACAAACAAACAAATAAAAATATTTACCTTACTGGACTGTTACGTGAATTTAAAGCCTCTATTATGAATTTTATTTTAGGGGGAGAATGAAAATACAAAGCAAATAATACTATATACAATAGGAATTAGTGTTAAGGATAAAATGAAACAGGAAGAAGGGGAATGTAGAAGGGCAATTACATATTGACATTAAGACAGAGTGGTCAGGCAAACATCAAGACAAGGAAATGAATGATGGTATATCTGAAAGGAATACTCCAAGGAGAAAGAAGAGAAAATGGTAAGATTCCAAATATCTGGGGAGGGGTATTTAAGAAACTTCAAATAGGTCAATGTGGCTGGAATAGAGTAGAAATTTAGAACTCAAACAGAAAACTAATGTGAAGTATGTATTACCTCTACGGCCACTACATATTTTCAAAGTAGAACAGAGAAGATCTGATGCCAGAATAGGTTTGGATTATAAGAAAAAAGTTGAAGTTTACAGCCAAAATAACAAAAACTGCTACTTAGAGCATGGGGAAAATTGCAGGCAAAATATTAGGAATACACAAAGATCCAGTCACATTAATTTTGAAAAGCTTATCATTTAAAAAAAAACAAAAACTGGTGAGGTGGGGAGATAAAATTTAGAATTCAGTGATTCAAATTCTAGCAATGAGTTTAGGGATTTTCTTGATTTTTCAATAAGAAAACAAAAGGAATTTAAATAATTGCCTGTGTCCATTCTTGATGACAGTATGTTTTTGACAACTAAGCCATTTAGAAACCAAATTGAAGGGCTGGGGCTGTAGCTCAGTGTACAGCGCTTTCCTTGACTGTGAGGGACTGGGTTTGATCCTTAGTACCACATTAAAAATAAACAAAGATACTGTGTTTTACTCTTTCTAGACTGGCAAGAACTCAATAAACAGGTGCATCTAACAAATGGGGCACTGGTTTAATCAACTTCATAAGACAGTTTGGTTGTCTGGTGAGTACTTATTAAATATCACTATAATAGCAACCTACCATGCAAATATTCCAATTTATTAACCAAATAACAAAGAAAACCACTGATGTTAATAAGTCTACTTTCATTTAGTCATTTTCATGACTAAAAAATATCTTAACATCCAACTTAGAAATCACTTTATTCTTTTTAAAAAATTCTTAATTGCTAAAATAATGTACATAGAAGAAACTAAGTATTTTGGTAAACCTAGTTAAACACATAATTGTATGTATTTGAAGTTATGTTCTCACATTCCTATGAAATCTGATGCCTTTAACGATTCCACTTACTCGCAGGGAACATAATGACATATTGAAACACCACTGGCTTTCACTCAATGGTAAAGGTGGATACTATTCCAAGATTCACAAAGTCTGTAATTTTTAAGTGTAAGAGTAAGTACAAGAGTGTATCATCATAATAGCATAAGTGGCATTTAAAATTTTTAAACCAACCTTTTACTTTAATCTTGGCTTTCTTGGCTTTCTTTTCAGTTACTTCCCCCTCTTTGTCTACCTGTTCTATTTTGCGTTTTTTAGAACAGGTTGGAAGTGTGGAATCACCAGAGGGATCATAAGTCTTCACTTCACTAAAAGAACAAAAGAATTTTAGAAAATCCCTACAAATATCTGTCACTAAAATAATTCAAGACAAAAGAGAATGTCACTAGATGATACACAAGCATACAAGATAGCTTTATTTTAGTGGATTTGATGTCGTTCATGAGGACTTAAGTTTTCCCAAAGGTAAAAAGCATTGCCAGGTGTGGTGGCACACACCTGTAACTTGGGAGGCTGAGACAGGAGGATCTCAAGTTCAAAGTCAGCCTCAGCAACAGCAATGTGCTAAGCAACTCAGTGAGACCCTGTCTCTAAATAAAATACAAAATAGGGCTGGGGATGTGGCTCAGTGATTGAGTGTTCCAGAGTTCAATCCCCAGTACCCCAACTCACCCCCCACAAATGGAGAAACATCTCCACAATTAGCAAGAAAGTAAAAACTGAATCCCATTTTGAGAAAGTTGTATAATTAAATGAAATAAAATAAAAACCAAAATTTATACAGATATCTTCATCACAATATCCCACAGGGCAAAGGAATAAAAGGGGATTAAAAGGTTAAGGCAAGAGAACTGTAAGTCTCTTAAATTTAACTAGACCCTGTTTAAAAAAAAAGAAAGAAGATCTGAGGGAGTAGACCTGTGGTTGAAGGTCCCTGTGTTCAACCCCCAATATCCCACTCCCGCAAAGAATATGCAGCTATTGTAAACAACTTAGAAATTTACAATTAAAGTGTTAATGTCCACAGTGCATGCATTTGGCTTTTTCAAAGTATACAGGAAAAAATTTTCCAAACATGTATTTTTAATACCTGCATGTATGAATAGATACATAATTATATATTGCTTTCTCTGTTTAATTATTACAGCATAACCTAGCATGTGTGAGGCACTGGGTTCAATTCTTACCATCACATATAAATGAATAAAATAAAGGTTCATCAGCATCTAAAAATATATTTTAAAAAATTTTTTTACAGATGAGACTGGGGTTGTGCCTTGTACATGTGAGGCCCTGGGTTGGACCCTCAGCACCATATATAAATAAACTAGTTAATAAAAGTATTGTGTCCTCTACAACTAAAAATTCTTCAAAGTAGAATTAGGTTAATGACTGACTAGGAGCACTTTGAAGGATCTTGATACATAATGTCATAATGTTTTGTTTCCCAAAACAGTTGTATCACTTGACTTCTATCACCACAACCTGATGTGAATATGGAGCATTAAACCAAATGATAAACAAAGAACCCCTCTATACACAAATCTTGTTGACAGTGAGATCTGAGTATTTCATCATGCCTATGAACCATTTTTAAACTTATCTTCCATCTTTGACTTTCTTTTTAAGAGTTTCCTTTGTAGATTAATCCTAGATAAACTTTCTTTTTTATAAATAGCATAATTCATAGAGGAATTTTATACGAAAAATATTTAGTACTAATATCTGGAAGTTAGAAACTAGAAATTAGAAGTGATTAGAAACTAGAAATGAGTTTGACATGGAGACACACACCTAATCCTAATGACTTAGGAGGCCAAGACAGGAGGATTACAAATTTGAGGTCAGACTGAGAAATGTAGTTGGGTCCTAAGCAACTAAGCAAGATCCTGTCTCAAGATAAAAAATATAAAGCACTGGGGATAAAAAAATAGAAATGAGTATAAAAAAACTAAATGAGAAGGAAAAAAAAAGATGTGTAACATGGTGACTACTGTCAAACACAGCAGGTAAATTTTAAGTGTCTTACCACATAAAAAAGTAACCTAATGCATGTTAGCTTAATTTAGCCATTTCACAATATACATACTTGGCAAAACAACACTTATACGATAAATGTATATAATTTTTTAATAGTTAAAAAGATTGCGAGCTAATTAGGTGCTTAAGTTTATAATTGAAAAATTGCTGTTGCTGGTTGTAGTGAGGCATGCCTATAATCCCAGTTATGTGAATGGCTGAGGTAGATTGCAAAGTTGAGGAAAGCCTGGACCCTGGGCAACTTAGTGAAACCCTATATTAAAAAAAAAAAAAAAAATTAGGGGATGTAAGGGGGCCATGTATGTGCATGCTGTTGATAATTAATAAACAATGTGTTCATTTATTCCCCTAAATATACTCACCTTTTGTGTTCATACTTTTCTGTTTTTGCTAACGCTTTTCCTGTTCCACTTATTTTTCTTATCTGAGAAGAAAAATGGAAATTACTAATGAAATTCCAAGCATAATATCTTTTTTTTTTTATTTTTATTTTTTTGTGGTGCTGAGGATTGATCCCAGGGCCTTGTGCATGCAAGGCAAGCACTCTACCAACTGAGCATATTATATCCCCAGCCCCCAAGCATAATATCTGTATAATACATTATGTCTAGAAAGTTCAGTGGACCAACAGGCAGCAATATCTGATAATTTTTCTTTACTCTGAACAGCATATCTTAATGACAAACGTGATTCAATACATTAATTCTTGGAAAATAAGAGAAACTTAACAGCAGGTACATACTAAAGTGGATCACAAAACAACAGTTTCATAAGACTATCATTGTTTATTAACAAATCACAGGAAACATTGTGCAATTACTGGAATATGGTTCTTACCCCTCTATCCTCCAAGGTTCTCAATCTGGCCTCTAATTTAGCTCTATTCTCAACTCCCATTGCAGAACTGGAGTCTTCACCAAATGCATCATAACGTATAGCCAAAACGGTTTTGGCTGCTAGCATTCGAGAAATCTAATAGAAAACATGAAGTTAGAAGCAATCAAACTATATTCCAAGCTCAGATGTAAAATTCTCAGCTATTCATGAGAAAAATTATACCAAATCAGCATATTACCATTCATTCTAGATTTTTTTTTGAGGGGGTGGGGGTGCTGGGGACTCAAACCAAGGGCCTTATGTATGGTATGCGAGCAGTTATACCATTGAATTACATCTGCTAGACCTCATTTTAAGATGAAAATCAAAAGTATTATAAGTCATACAACTCAAATCACCTACTGTATTTCTTCATCTTTGCTACAGTATAATGGCTTACTGGTTATACATCACTGTTAATACTTTGGTGGACAAAAACACGTTTTAACAAATTTGTGTTTAAAATTACCTCAAACTAATAATTAGCCAAGCATGGTGGCGCATGCCTGTAATTCTAGCAGCTAGGGAGGTTGAAGCAGGGGGATCACAAGTTAAAAGCAAGTGAGGTGTTAAGCAACTCAGTGAAACTCTGTCTCTAAATAAAATTAAAAATAGGGCTGGGGATGTGGTTCAGTGTTTGAATGCCCCTGAGTTCAATCCCCAGTACCAAAAATAACATAATATAAAATAAAGTAAACTAAAACTAATCTTCCAATGTCTACCTTTAGTTTCACACAGTGATACTATTTCAATGCCATAAGAGGTCCGCTAGAACAACTATATTCATTTCTCTCATAACAGTCTTAACTATCGCGGGTACTTCTTTAAACTGACATTGTTTCATTGAACACTTTATTTCCATTACTGTGCTCTTAAGTTTATAAAATTTTAAGTTATTTCTGGGGCTGGGGATGTGGCTCGGGCAGTGGCGCACTAGCCTGGCATGCGCGGGTAGCTGGGTTCAATCCTCAGCACCACATAAAAAAATAAAACAAAGATGTGTCCACCGAAAAAATAAGTATTAAAATAAATTACCTCTCTAAAGAAGAAAAAAAAATTTTAGTTATTTCTGTTAAATCAGGAATTCTTAAACACTGAAAGTACTTAATTTTTTAAGTCTGTTTTCAATATCTGTAAAACAGGAAAGTACATACTATTATTACCATTATTATTCTTTTGGCAGTGCTGGTGATTGAACCCAGCCAGGGGTTCTCTATACCACTAAGCTACATCCCGAACCCATATTTTAAATTTTCAGACACGGTCTCTCTAAGTTGCTGGCCTTGAACATGGGATCCTCTTGACTCAGCCTCCTGAGTAGCTGGGATTACAGATGTGCACCACCATGCCTGCCTATGTGCTATTAGTTTTAATAGTTGATAAATGCGGGGCTGGGGATGTGGCTCAAGCGATAGCACGCTCGCCTGGCATGCGTGCGGCCCGGGCTCGATCCTCAGCACCACATACAAACGAAGATGTTGTGTCCGCCGAAAACTAAAAAATGAATATTAAAATTCTCTCTCTCTCAAAAAAAAAAAAAAAAAAAAAAAAAAAAGTTCATAAACGTTAGACTGGCTTTCTTGCAAAATCCTTTTGTGAATCACCCACAGGTGAATCCTAGGAAAAAAAATAATAGTGAAAGAAAATGGCTACAGATGGACCAATAAACTATTTCTTCTAATCTTTTCTTTCAGTACACACAAATGCTTTTAATTTAAACAAAATTAAATGATAAAGACAATAGAAAGACTGAATGTGCACTATAATTACAGGAGAAATGTGTGTTTTTAGAAATAAAAATAGATAGAAGATAGATGGAAAAGGCTTAACTTCAGAAAAGTTGTAACTCACCTTCCCTTTGTGTTTGGGACTTGACTGGCCCACAAGTGAAGCATGATAAATAAGACCATATTTAGGGGTATCCCGTCTAGATTTAAGGGCTCTGAAGAGTGCCTTTTCAGCTCCAAGAATCTGAACTGTAGAAGCTGCATGCTTAGCCAAATTCAAAAGAGAACCTACAAAAAATAAATAGTAGTCACTAATAAAGCACTACCAGATATGTACATTCCATGTATTAAATAAAAGACATAGTTTATTATAGCTAGAGTAATAAATTTAAAAATCCTCAAATGATGCAGAATTATGTAATCTTGTATAAATTCCCTGAAAATTCTAATGCTTCATTTGACTCTGAGGCAGAGATTTGTGATGTCTATGACAAAGTGAAGGTTAAGCTTAACTTAAACTTATTTGCCTGAGATGGTATTTCTACTGTATATTCATTAGCATTCCCCAAGTGATTAATATATAAACACAAGTATTTACACACATCAATCTATCCCCCATTTCCTGAGATTTTGGACATCCAATATTCCATTGTTCTAGATATGTACTAGGTAGTATCAACTATATGAATATCTCACTAGTATTAACTGAAAAAATATTCTCACTTCATTTAACTTTATTTCAGATATGGATTAAGAAGCAATATGCCTGGAACTAAACTAAGTTGCTTTCTTGGATATGTTGCAAAGAATACTTTGTATCAAAAAACAAAACAAGGGCTGAGTACACAGCTTAGTAGTATTAATGCTTGCAGAGCATACCAAGTACCACAAAAACAAAACACTACACACCCAATGTTAATGTTAGGAGCTCAATTACTGAAGACATGTTTGAAGTGCAAAAAACTCGTATTTCTGTTAATCTCTGTATGCATATGTTACCACCATAAGTTTAGATACATCTACAAAACTGGGTGAAGCCAAGGAAACCAGGCTAGATGATTGTGATCCTGTAGTGAAGGGTACTTGAATGGAATATTGTCTCATTAAAAACGTAGATAAGAGAGTTATTCCAGTTTAAACACTTTGATGTAGATAATAAATAAGAACTATGATGGATTATAACAATGTCTCTAATAGGACAAAAATAAATTGGGCCTGGGGTTGTGGCTCAGTGATAAAGCGCTTGCCTAGCATGTGTGAGGCACTGGGTTCGATTCTCACCACCGCATATAAAAAAATAAAGGTCTGTCAATGACTAAAAATATATTTAAAAAAAATAAATTGGTACTTCAACTATACTAAAGGTATTCAATTATACAGTGATTTTTGTTGTAGCATATCACCCTTACAATTTTACTACATACACATTAAGTTTATTATAAATTGATTCTTCAAAACACTTTGAAAGTCAAATACATTAAAAAATAGCATATTCAACAATGAAATTCACATAATTTATCAAGAATATACATTGCCTGAACTATATTCATCTTGGTCTGATGTGGGTTTTTGTTTTGTGGTACTGGGAACTGAACCCAGGGCCTTGTGCATGTTAGGTGAATGTTCTACAACTGAGCTACATCTCCCAAACTCATATGACTTTTTCTTTCCACATCTTTTTTATTGGTGCATTATATTTATATAAAATTATGAAATTTTTATATGTTTGTACATATACGCAACATAACAATATAATTTGGCCAATATTACTCCCCAGATCTTACCCCCCTCCCTCCTTCCATCCTACCCCATTCCCTTTCCTCTATTAATCTCCTTTTGATTTTCATACTCTTAACTCATGACTTTTTTTTGAGACAAGTTCCTGCTAAATTGCCCAAGTTGGCCCTGAGCTTGTAATCTGCAGCCTCAGTCTATTGAGTAGCTGGGATTACAGGAGTGTATCACTGTGCCTGGATTCATAAGTACTTAATATTATGAAAAATGATAAGTAATTATATTCTTCTGTAATTATCTGATTTTTCTGATTAACCAGAGCAAACATCTGAAAAAAGAACCACAAGTGTCTCAGAAGAGGTAGTGACTAAAGATGCCTTCATTATCCAAAAGGAAATCCAGCAAACAAAAATCATCATTGAACACTTGGCTGTTACTTTTTAATAGTTGTAAAGACCAAAATCCAGAAAAAATGACTTTAAATACTCATGTTTACAAATTACATTAAAACAGTCACCTGCATGAGCAATAAGCCTTGCTCCAACTAATTCACCAACCATAACTGTAACATTGGGTGCAATGGCCATCATTCGATTTTGTAGATATTCATAGAGCTGAGTCCTATATTCCGAAATTTCAATCACCTAACAAAAGGAATAAAATGAGTAAGTAATAAAGACCTATCAGTAAAAACAGTGTCAAATTTACATGACTAAAACACTCAAGTACAACAGCTTAGGCAAAGTGGCATGTGCCTCTAGTCTAATTACTCAGGAGACTGAAGCAGGTAGGTCATATAAGGTTAGGAGCTTGAAGCTAGTGTGGGTTACATACTGAGACCCTAATCTCAAATTAAAAAGGTCTGGATTCCTGAATTATCAAAGAACTGCTTGACCCTAGGTAAATTTACTTTTAAAACTGGTTTTCTATAAAATGACTTCTGTAAGTCTTGAATTAAACAAATGTATGTAAACCACTTACAGTATAGCTTCTGAAAAAAAAAGTTTGTCAATACTATTCTAATAGTTTTCAAAAAATTCCATCAGCTACACATTTGTGTCATCTGTAAATTTTTTTTATATAACTATCAAATTTGGGGCAAAAAATTATCATGGGCTATAAACACAAACTCCAATAACTCAAGCCATATTTCTTGTGCTTCTTAATAAATATGCTAGTAGTACAAATTACTTCATTCCACTATGTACTTCCCCTTCTAAGTATACCAAATAAGATGGCATCAGATGAGGTAGTGACTGAACACCCTCATGTTTTTATCAGGTGAACAATAACTATAAAAATCATCATTGCCATCAGAAAATTATTATAAAGCTGGAAACAGCTGGATTCACTATGGATACAATTTACCTGGGTACAAAGATGCAGAATGTTGCAAATATCTTCTTCAGAAACCTCTGTTCCCATAGATATTTCTGCTGCTGCTTTCACTTCAGCTTCAACTTCTTCTGGCAGAAATTCAGATAGTGTGGCAGAAGCATAGTTCCTCCTATCACCTACAGAATGTTTGCAGAGGATGAGGGAGAATCACTCTAACAAATTACATAAAATCCACCATACAGTCAAAAGAAAAGTAGATATAAGCCAATGTAAAGGATGCCTAAATGAGAGCTGGAGATATAGCTCAGTTGGTAGAGTGCTTGCCTTGCAGGCACAAGGTCCTGGGTTCAATTCCTAGCACCATCACCACCCCCAAAAAGGATGCCTGAGTGAAACAAAAAACAACTAAGTCATACCTACTAGTTATCCTGATGTGTAAATGCTTGATTTTAGAGATAAATTTCTCCCCACTATTTCCCTCCAAAATATAATTGTGATAAAAATAAGACAAAACATTCCATAAAAACTTAAGTTCAGAAAGGTAGCAAAAGTAAGTACAGGACTAATGTCAATTTTATATGGAAGATGGGGCCATTAATTCTGAAAATGTTAATGAGACAAGCAATTTGCACAGTACAGAATATAACATCAACAATATAGACAGCTATATTACTGTAAATACTAGATACAGTTAATATACTATAGGATGCCCTCAGTCTACAATTGCCTCTATTATTAATTAGCTTACCATAAGAAGCTACTTAAAGAAAAACTCAGAGAACCATTTTCTCTGTTGTATAGGTCAAAGTAAAAATTGATTTTAACTCTGAAATCAAACAGATTAAGTTACTAAAATTTGTTTTGACATGCAACCAAATTTAGTTATTTTCAATGTCTTTAAGGATATACAAATTTCTCACCAACTTTCTGTAAACACTTGCAGTATGTCAAATTATCTGAAATAATTTTTCCTAATTCTGGAAAATGCCAGCCATACCACTCTCTACATCGCATAATGTAGTTGTTTAGTTCTTTATCCAAGTCATCTAACAAGGCTGTAGTAGATAAAAATGAGGACACACAAAAAAAGTTTATTACAGTACAATATATGTATAATAAAATTCACATTTAACCATTTTCAAAATTACAATCCAGTAGCATTAAGTACACTCTCATATTTACATTCCATTCCCAGAACATTTTCATTATATGAAATTGAAAATTCAATAGCCATTAAAACATAACTGCCTATTATTATCTCCCCAAACCCCTACTAACATCTATACTACTTTGTCTCCATGAATTTATCTATTCTAGAACTTCATAAGTAGAATCCGGTATTATTTCCCTTTTACATTTATTTCAAGGTTTATCCACATTGTAAAATGTATCTGATGTGACCTTCCATTTTAAGTATACAGATGTTTTATTTATCCATTCATCTGTTAATAGATATTTTGTTTTTCTCCATCTTTGGCTACTGTAAATCATATTGCTGTAAACATGGGTATAACAATACAGGAGACTAACCTGAGTCACTAATTTCAATTCTCTTGGGTATGTATAAAGGAATAGAATTACTATAGGAATTTTAAAGATTCAAAGAGCTATGACAATGTTACTAAAAACAGTTCTCCGTGGAGAATAACACATTATTTAAAAGCTAAGTAAAAAAGACAATTAAATAGATCCTACCCCATTTTTCACATTACTAGAAGAAAACACATCAATTTACATTTTAATACTGTGATTCATGTTATCCTATACTAATCAAATTATGGGTAATTTCCTTCTTTACTATTTTTGTGATCTATCAACTCAGTAATAGCTTAACTCCTTTCTCAACAAATAGCTTCCATAGAAACAAAAACATGAAGAACAGAGAAACAGATTAGACCTTGCCATGTACTATACTTACAAATCGCCTGAACAATCATTGTATCCACTTTATCAGCACTAAACTTTAATCTGTATCGAGACAAGCTGAGGAGGAGAGAGAAAATGGCAAATTAGTAAAGCATTTAAAATTAACATTCTAGGTGTGCTGGAGCATGCCTGTAATCCAGTGACTTAGGAAGCTGAGGTAGGAGGATCAAGGCCAGCCTGGGAAACTCAGCAAGACCCTGTCTCAAAATAAATCCTAATTTGTTATATATGACAGCAGAATGTAATACAATTCATATTACACATAGAGCACAATTTTTCATATCTCTGGTTGTATACAAAGTATATTCACACCATTCATGTCTTCATACATGTACTTAGGGTAAAAGATGGTGGAATGAGAAAAATTAACATCTTAAATTCAAATCCAAATCTCTGTCCTCAGTTATACTGTTTTCAGCTTTTCTAAGTAGGAAACCAAGTCAAATATAAATGCACTTATGAAATATCACAAAGCACACATTTGCTACAACCTGCACTTCTGCAACATGAATTAGTTTATATGTGAATAACAAACAAAATAATGCTGTGTAGAGGTAAAAGTCATATTGGCTCATATGATTTTTTTGGTAGCACATCAAGGCTTTATATCACCTCTTTCAAGAAATATTCTAGGGCTGGGGTTGTAACTAAGTAGTGGAGTGCGTGACTAGCATGTGTGAGGCACTGGGTTCAATTCTTAGCACTGCATATAAATAAATAAAAAGGTCCATTGACAACTAAAAAAATTTATAAAAATAAATATTCTAGTCTCTTAACATCTAAAAACAAAGCTATAGAACAATTTCTTAATCTTGGCAATACTGGCTGGGGATGGTGGCGCATGCCTGTAATTCCAGAAGACTCAAATAGGAGGATCGGGAGTTGAAAGCCAGCTTCAGAAACTTAGTGAGACACTTGCAACTCAATGAGACCCTGTCTCTAAATAAAATATAAAAAAGGGCTGGTGATGTCACTCAGTGATTAACACTAAGTTCAATTCCCAGTATAAAAAGAAAAAAAAATCTTGGCAAAACTGACAATAATTATTACTTATAGGAGGGTGCCAAGCTATGCTTTGTAGGACATTTTCAGCATCCCTGATATTTACCAATTAGATGTTGGTGGCATACTCTATTACAGCATCACTTGCGATAACTGAAAATATCTCTAGATAGTCAAATAACTCAAGGGAACATCTAATTGTCCTTAAGAGAACCACTGGTATACACATTGTTGTTTAATCCTATATTTGAGTAATGATTCAGTTTCAATACTTATTCTTAGAGAAGCTCATTTAAAAATTCTTCCTGGTCTCTACTCTTATATCTATAATACAGCAGCTTCAACCTTTTCATTAGTCTATATTCACCCCTGTCCCTACTCTGTAGTTTGAACGCGGGGCCTCAAAAATGCTAGACTAGTCCTCTGCTCACTTCTTAAAATTTGTGTTAGAGACTACTATTTATTGTAATAATTCTTTCTTTGCACTACTGGGGATTGAACAGAGATGTGATCTACCACTGAGTTACATCCCCAGCCCTATTTTGTATTTTAGTTAGAGACAGGATCTCACTAAGTTGCTTAGCACCTCACTTTAGCTGAGGCTGGCTTTTAACTTTCGATCCTCCCGCCTCAGCCTTCCAAGCAGCTGGAATTATAAGTGTGCATCACCATGCCCAGCATGTAGTATTTATTTAATATAAACTTCATAAGACTTTTTAATTGTGCTGTACCACAAATAGAAAGAATCATTTTTCAAAATATATTGTTGTTGTTCATGAACCTTTATTTATTCATTCATGTGCAGTGCTAAGAATCAAACCCAGTGCCTCACACACTAGGCAAGCCCTCTACCACTGATCTACAAACTTAGCTCATAGAATCATTTTTGATAGTGCTACCTATACAGTTGCATAGGTTTTAAGTATTCTACCTATAATCTCTTACTTTCTTCAGAAACTATTTTTAGTACACCAGAGTATCAAGCTTTTTGTGAACACAGCACAGCAGCAATGTGCACAATAATGAACCTGTCATTAAACGTGGGAGAATTAAGATGCCTTATTCTAAAAAATTATTAAAAAACGGTAAAAAATCAACACTGACACACATATACAAAATGGAAACTGACACACACATACAAAATGGAAGGAAATATAGCAGATTTGAAAATTCTGGGAAGTGGCAGTGGGTGGAGGCACAGTATTAGAGTTGGTAGAGATAAAATAAAATGAGGGATCCAACACTAGAATGGTAAATAATTCCTATGATGAAGTTTTAAGAACCCAGCAATAGGGCCAGGTTGTATGGGTTCAAATCCTGGCTTTATCATTTATCAGCTTTACTATTTCACAATATTAGTTTCCTCATGAGGTTAATATGAGGATTAAGTTAATATCTGTAACATTTTGGGAACAGTTCTACGTAATTGACTTTATATTTACAGTATTTCTCACCTGTGGGCCAACCCAAGACACATGGCTGACATTTCACGTGGTTCTACACCAGGGATTAATCCATCCATTTGTGATCGGATTCCTCTCATAAGTTCATTAACGACAGGACTATGGATACAACTGAGATTCAGTTTTTCCTACAAGAATAAGAACATTTCTAATAAATAAGAGATTTCCTGAAATTAGTTCTTATATGTTAATGTACTGATTCGAGCACATGCATTTTCAGTTTGATGAAGTTTCTTATATGTTTATAAATACTCGAGTATATTGTGGATAGAAGTCAAATCTGTACAAACTTCCTGGAAGACAGCTTGACTAATCGAATTAAAAGCTGTAAATGATGAATATAATTTGACTTAGTAGTTTTGTTCCCTTTTTTAAAAAAAGCTTTGAGGATCTTTCATTACTTTGTTATTTGACTTTCAAATGTAATTAATTAAAAACAAAATTAAAGTATAAAGGTAATACACTTGTAAGATTATAATGAAGCCGACACGCCTATAATCCCAACAGCTTGGGAGGCTGAGGCAGGAGGATTGCCAAATTCAAATTACCCACAATGGGATAATTTTTTCTTTCCCCTGCACACCTTCAATTTTCCATACTGCAGTGTATTGGCTAACTACTTCACACAGGTCTACATAGTTCTAGTCTATCTCATGCAAATATTAACAGGTATGCAAAACGCATTTAAGAAGAAAATATATAGCTGGGTACAGTGGCACACACCTGTAACCCAGCAATTTGGGAGGCTGAGGCAGGAGGATTGCAAGTTCCAGACCAGCCTCAGCAACTTAGCAAGACCCTGTCTCAAAATAAAAAATAAATAGGATTGGGGATGTGACTCAGTGATTAAGTGCCTCTGGATTCAATCCATGCCCCCCACCCCCTGCCACAATTTAGTATATCATACATGATAATCTGTATAAAAACTTACTAAGTAATAAAAATAATTTTAAAAGATACCCATCATCAATATGCCCTTTTGCATGCCTTTGTAGGTATTCTTATACCACAAGTATGAACACTTGATTCAAGTACTGCTTACTATATTCTCTCAGGCTTTCATTCTCTTGAGTACAATGTCTACATTCAGAACTCAACTTGGAATTTGAATACTTCAGTTCATAAAGATACTGAAAATGTCTGTTTCTTCCTAATGTGCTAAAAGTTATAGCCTTTAACAAAAAAAAAAAAAATATATATATATATATATATATGTAAAGTTAAGCCTGTGTACAATGCAAAGGATGGAGAGACTGAAATCATCAACGAAAACCTCATTGCCCAATAGTATTAGAAGTAATCTATTTAAATGAACTTCTTAAAATTAACCATTGACTTATTACTAAAGCTCTTAAATCTTAGCACTTTGCTACCATTTCACATAGTTCTTTCCTGACTTCATGATTCAGAGGTATGTTTTATGATCACAACAATTAGCCTGTGGCAGAAATATTTACTTTAACTACTAAACTTCAATCTATCATGAATGGATCTCACTGTTCTACTTTTTGAGTTTGGTATGCTATTTTTCCAGTCTTTCCTTCCACTCTATTTCTAGCAAGTATATCCCCCTACTAAAGATTTCTAATAAACACCTAAAAAATAAAATCATGACCCCATTTTTGTTGAAAAACTGTACTCTGTATGTGTAATAAGAATTGTAATGCATTCCAATATCATATATAAATTTAAAAAAAGAGATTATGAGTAGCAGGGATAGGGCTAATTTTAATCTTTTTTTGTTAATCTGTATTTTCTACAATGAACAGGAACTACTTATATATATGTTTGGTTCTGCTAATACTAATGGAAATTATTATGTAGCTTAGGAAAAAAGATGTAATATGAGAACTTACGACAACTTATTACAAAGGCTAGGCTTTGTAATTAGAATCCTGTGAGATCAAACTAGCAGGCATAAAAGAAAGTCATGACTTTAAATTCATTCATTCGTATGTTCATTTTAGTGTTTGCGGGCCTAACACAGGGCTTTGTGTATACTCAGCACATACTCTTATCATTAGGCCTAACCCTGACCCCTACTTTACCTTTATGACTCCTCCTAGTTTAGCATCAGCTACAGCCAGAGGTTCATGTGCTTCTTTCACTATTTTCTTTAGAACTTTCTTCAACTGCTTATTGATTTTGCCCTCCATCAGAGCTGTGAATGCTTTTTAGAAAAAAGAAAAACACAAGAGTTACCTCAGATTTTTAACTGCAAGAACGTATTTTAAAATTTAAAGCAAAATACTTCCTTTTGAAAGGCCCAAATTTAATGTCACTTCTGAAACAATCAATGTGAATGGTTACATATCTTATAGGAAAGGTTTCTATCTTTACGTCACACAAATGTTCTCACAAACTCTAGGAGAGGATAGTAAAGTCTTAGATTCATTCTCCTGTCATTTCAGATAGATTAGCTTGATGTCCTTGACTGCAAAATACCCTAAAATCATATCAAAATGAGTATTAGAAAAAAGGAAGGCTGTGCAACAGTGTAAGCATGTTTGAGTGGAGGGAAGCCTTATTTTTGCTAATCCCCAAACCAGATGTATCATCAGGCCTGTGCCTGTAACTCTCCTGTTAACAAGCCCTTCCTTAGATAAGTATATGTACTTCCAGACCCATATGTACTTCTCACTTTGTCTGAGGTTAAAAGTATGCCTAGCAGAAAGAAAGACCTGCCAGTTTCTAATGTCAAGCAGTTTGCTTCATTAGCCAGGTACCTGGTTCTTCCCTCCTGATTCCATGTCATCCATTTGAATTACAAGTCCATTGCATCAGTTATCTGGGAAGATTCAAGGTGAGGACAAAAAGCATCTGGCTCTCACATAGCTTTTGCAGGTTTCTAAACTCTTATAATTTTTACATTGATTCCTTAAAATCTAACAGTCTTCTTTGCATGCCAGTAACCCGAGTTGACTCAGGAGGCTCAGGCCCTAAACAATTTAGTGAGACTCTGTCTCAAAATAAAAAGAATAGAAAGGGTTAAGGATGTAGCTCAGTGGCAGAGGGCTGCTAGGTTCAATCCCCAGTACCAAAAAAAAAAAAAACAAGAGAGAAAAAGGTCTTCTTTATATTTTTTCCTTATGTAAGGTTTTAAACCCTCAGATTGGGGATGTAACTAGTGGCAGAGCACTTGCTTAGCATGCTTAAGGTTCTGGGTTTGAGCATCACGTACCTACCTACCTACCTACCTACTACATGTACGTAAATAGAAAAACTTCTTAATTGAAAAGTTTAAATTTAACTTTTGCTTCCTGTTCCTAATCTTCTGTATCATCTTTTATTTATAACCTAGTGTTCATCCTCATTTCTTAAGTTAAAAATTCCTACTCTAATAATTATACGTATCTTCCCCATATCAAAATTTATTATTATATTTAATATAAAACATAAGCAAGACTAAAAACAAGCCTCTCCATACTAATGGCATATGTGAACTTCTGGTACCCATACAGAATTTTGGTTTCACACTCCATTAGACTCTAATTTTTAAAGCTATGGGATTTAAAATATACATAGTGACATTTACAGATACAAGTTTGGTGCTATCAATGTCAAAACTGGAATGAGGCAATCCCCAGTACTGCAAATCAAAACTCTAAGGGGATGTTTCCCTTACTGGTAAAAACAGGAAAAGGTACCACAGGTTTCTATGACTGGATTCCTTAGAGAACTTACTCGAATTCATATACCCCATGATTATAAATCCTGTATAGTCAGATGCTGTCCTAGAATCTAAAAATTTGCCAATTTACAGCAATCTCTGCATTGTGGAGATTAGACCAAGGCAACTTAATTTTTTTTTATTTTTGGTGGTTTTAAGAATTGAACCCAGAACCCAACACATGCAAAGTATGCACTCTACTATTGATATACTTTCCTAGCCAGAGATATGACTTAAAATAACAATGTGATAACATACATTGTTATTTAAAGTCATATGATCCGGGCTGGGGATGTGGCTCAAGCGGTAGCGCGCTCGCCTGGTTCGCCTGGCACGCGTGCGGCCCGGGTTCGATCCTCAGCACCACATACAAACAAAGATGTTGTGTCCGCCGAGAACTAAAATATAAATATTAAAAACAAAAATCTCCAAAACATTAGCAATGATATAAAAAAAAGAATTCACAAGATACTAGGGATCAAGGATGCAGCATTTCACAATTTGAGGAGGAACCGGTAATATCATGATCTATGCAAACAATGCCCCCTACTGTTGGAGTATAGCTAACACAATATTGCTTGGGATTTTATCAAAATTCTACCCATACTTAAGCAGATCTTTTAAAGAATTCTCCAGGGCAACAATATCATTGTTGTGCTATATGGCTGAAGGAGCCTTAGAACTACTTATTTAAAAAAAGAAACAACCTGGGCAGGCAGTGGTGCAGGAATGTAATCCCACCAACTCAGGAGACAGAAACAGGAGGATCCCAAGTTCAAGGCCAGTTACAGCAACTCAACAACACCTTGTCTTGAAATAAAAAATAAAAAGATTGGGGATGTGGCTTGGTGGCTAAAGCACCTCTGTGTTCAATGCCCAGTACCAAAAATAAACAAACAAACAAACAAACAAACAAACAAACTGGCCTCATTATTGGATCCTCATTTAGCCTACCCTCTTCAAGGATAGGTGGCCCAATAATATTCAAGCACATTTATTTTCAATTTTCACTCAGAATCATATCTTTTCCCATGGTTGATGAATAAATTATTTTTATCTGTCAAATTCTTAATTTTAATATTCTTCCTTACAGATGTTCATTTCCTAATTTTATCACCCAAGTAGTTGGCTGATTTGCAATATAGAATTTCAGCAACTTTATCTATCCTTCTTCTTTTTTGTTAACTTAATATAAACAAACTATTGTGCTCCTCTGTAGTTTATTCAAAACAAAAAAACTATTAGTTTTCCTACAATTTTTAATTATATTGATATGCTTACCTGAATGTATACCCCTGGAGAGCCTTATCTTTTTTTTTCCTAATTGTGAATCCCAGCTAGTCTCAACTTTACCCTTGGATCAAACTATCAGAGAGCTGTGTACTTGACCACATTACCTTGGTCCCTTGCAGAACAGCTTTTACTGAATTGTGCTTCAGCATTATGCTGCTGGTTTCCACAGGGAGATCAATTTAACCACTTCTCACCTCTCATCACATGGGGAAAACCAGCCCTATGGTGAAAAAAGCTAACTCAATGTTGTCTCAGTGGTAGTGACGAATTTGAGTTAGATCACTTAAATTCAGTTCCATTAAGAATGCATCATTGACAACATTGAATAAGGTTAACTCAGGCAACTGAAGCAAACAACCTTTTAATAAGGAAAATAAACTACCAACACCAAAATAAATTAAGAAAAAAAGCTTCTAGTCTCTTACTTTACCTGCTAATGCTTCTGCTGTATCCTGAAATTTCTCAAAATGCTTTAGCTTTACTCTAGAATTTAAAAGAAAAGAAATATATTATGGAAGCACACTATTCTACAAAAGCCATGAAAAAAGTGTTGGTGTTCCAAAGTGTGTAGCAATAAAAGAAATTGACTGTCGATGAGAATCAAGGTACAAAATTAGAATATTCTTCTTAAAGTGACCAGTTCTTCTAAATGTTGGGCTAGTAATGTCCAGAATGGTACAAACAAAGTTATACACTTTGAAGAAAACTTAGGCCAAGAACAAACATGTTGAAGCTTCAACATAATCCCCGCTGCTATGGACACAGATGACTTTTACTTTACAACACAGAACTGACCCAAGGAAAAAATATTTGAAGCCCTCTTAAGGAAGGTATCTTAAGATATTCACATGTCTAACCAGTACAAATACCTTTTAAAAAGTCTACTGTTGCCCCACACCACCCCAGTGGCTTGGGAGACTAAGACAGGAAGATTGTGAATTCACCCATCTCTAAATAAAATGCAAAATAGAGCTGGGGAAAATAGAGCTCAGTTGCCGCAGTCTGGCTGGGCACACAATCACGAGCCACCACACAGCTTGTAGATTCAAACAGCAACTCTTTATTCCCGAACTCACACCAGCCGTCTACAATCACGTTCTGGGGAAATCCACGTTCTCTGCCCAAATCCACCTCCACTGGGCTTCTGTCTCCCAAATATACTGTCTGAATCCCGTGAGAACTCAAGGGGAACTCAGGCAGCAGGATTCGCCCTATTCCCAGCAGGAATAATCTTAAACCTTAAACCTGGAACCTAAACTGGGAACGCCCTAAACACGATTATCTTAAAACCGGGAACACCCTAATCTGCCTTGGTCCTTGAGCAAGGTCACCTACATTCAATGTCACTGCAACATGTCAGCAACATGGGGTACGCTGGCAAGGAAATTGTCATACCTACTTGGCTAATGGCTCCCAGCACTCAGTGGGGCCCTGAGTGCCCCCGAGTTCAACCCCCAGTACCCCCCCCCAAGTTTGTCACATCTGTTTCCTTAACTTTTTGTTTTGCCCCTTTTATCCCATATGCATTTATACGCAGGGTTACATTTTATGTAGAAAGAAATGTACATGGTTAATTCATAGTTGTCTCAGTGGTAGTGACGAATATTTGAGCTAGATCACTAAGATTCAGTTTCAATTGGAATACATCATTGACAACCATGAATTACCTTAACCCAGCAAAAGCACGACCCTTGAAAAAGGAAAATCAGTCTTCTATTTGCCTGAAACAACTGTTTTGTTCAAAAAATTGTAACTATTAATAATTATTAATTGTACATTACAGTGTTAAATAAGATTTTCTTACCTGACAAGGGAACATGGCGATCCCTTAAAAAAAAAAAAATTAAAAAGCTGGCGTGGTGGCTCACGCCTGTTAACTGCAGCAGCTTTGGAGGTTGAGGCAGGAGGATTTTGAGTTCAAAGCCAGTCTCAGCAAAAGCAAGGTGCTAAGCAACTCAGTAAAACCCTGTCTCTAAATAAAATACAAATTAGAGCTGAGGATGTGGCTTGGTGCTTGAGTACCCCTGAGTTCAACCCCCAGTACCAAACAAAACAAATATATATGTATACACATACATATATATAACGTATATGTAAAAAAAATTAAAAATCACTTAAAAATATAAAAATCCGAAGGAAAAGTAATAAGTAATAAATTCATCTTTTTCTGCCCCACCTTATCCTCACGTCTATCTTTTTTGAAGTGGCATTTGTTTGTGTCTCTCAATACTTGAATAAATGCATATAAACAAAGACACTACAAAAAATGAAATCACGTTAAACAAATTACCCTGAAGCTTGGTTTTCTGAGTTTCATGAACATCACTCTGTACTGTGAAGAGATTTATATACTACAGTTTATGCAACAATATCATTACTGATGGACATTCAAGCTGTTTTAATTTTGGGAGGGGGGTTCTACTACAAATACTACAATCTATATTTTGCTTCTTTAATTGTTTAGTATGCCATTTCTTTGGGTTTAACATTCTTTCATAGCAGTAGCAAGTTTCTCCTGTTTAATCTCCAGATGTGCCCTCCTCCAAAAAGAAGTTTCCTTTTACTCTTTTGCCTTTTGTTAGCAATAACAGAAGTATTATCAAATACCCGTTGGCATCCATGGACATAATCATATACAGATCCCTCCCCAAAACCACAAGTATCAAGAGGATCAGTGGTTCTTCCTAGGAACACATTTATCAAATATTTCACAAGTTGATTCAGAGATGGTGGAATAACTATATTGACTCTACCTTGAGGAAATGCCAGCTGTCCCTCCCACCACTCATTTCTTCAGTTGAGCTATCAAAGTTATACTCTACTTTCTTGCCAAGAAATCTTGAGGAGTCCAAGACAGGACTTTATCTAGAATTTATTAGCTAGTTATTTTATTTTACTAGGAAGTAGAAGTCATTAAGAATGAATATGCTGGGCTGGGATTGTGACTCAGCGGTAGAGCGCTCGCCTAGCATGGGCGAGACCCAGGTTCGATCCTCAGCACCACATAAAAAAATAAAGACATGTAAAAAAATTTTTTTAAGAAATATTTAAAAAAAGAAAGAATGAATATGCTAAGTAAAAAAATCTGAATATCAATGCAAGAAAATCAGTATTCCTTGCTTTATACAATTACTTTTAACAGAAATTTATACTTAATTCAATCAACTGTTTTCAAATACCTATAAAATATTCATTTTGGGGTGCTGTCCACTCCCAAATAAGCTGAGATGGCCTATGTTCCAAATAAAACATCCATAAATTAGGCTCATATTACCATTATTCATAAAGCAGATTTCAAAACAAAACACTGAATGTAACACTATACTAATGGAGTGGGGGCCACAATCTTAAATGTTAAGTGTTAAATTCTAGGTTTCAAGATTACTTACATTTTATTTGCTTTCTCTGGAGTTTCAAATTCTTTCCACAAACTATCAACCTCTTGAAGTTTCTTCTCATTTAGAACCTACAATAAAATATTTAAATAGTTTTCTTCAAATGGACCAATGCAGGCATTTGCTATATTCTTCAAGTACTATACATATAAAATGAGGGTGGTGAAGGCTATTTTTCTAACTGAAATAATGAATTAGGTTTCTAACCCAGTACAAACTTTTGATCAAATTACTAGTTCATGCATACTTTTAGGAATTACACTGTATGAATATACCACGATTTTTGCTTTAAGGATGTCTAATTTTTCCTTTTTAATGCTTCAGAAAAAAATTATCTTTGAACTAGATGCAGTGGTACATGCCTGTAATCCCAGCAACTCAGAAAGCTGAGGCAGGATTGCCGGTTCAAATCCAACCTCAGCAACTTGGCAAAACTGTCTCAAAATAAGAAATAAAAAGAGGATGGGGATGTGGCTCAGTGGAAAAGTATCCCTGGATTCAATCCCCAGTACCAAAACAAAAAGACCTTTGTACCTACACGTTATATTCAATAAGACAAGCGATTGGAAGTAGAGTTAATTGATCATGTAAAATAGGCTTATGTTGACAGATGTGTCCACACTGCTTTTAAGAGATCTTATCAGTTTCACTTAAATCAGTAAATAAAAGCCCAGCACTATGGCCTATGCCTGCAATTCCCCAGCTACTCCAGAGGCTGAGGCAGGAGGACTGTGAGTTCAAGGCCAGTCTCAGCAACTTAGTGAGCCTCTATTTCAAATGAGTAGGGGGGTGGGAGGGTCGATATAGTTCAGTTGTATAGCACTCCTGAGTTAAACCCTTAGTACCTTAAAAGGAAGAAAAAAAGAAACAATACTGCAAAGTGTGTAACTTAAGTTTTCACATGAGTAAGATAATTTTAAAAGATCTGTTGTTCAAATTAAACCTGACACAGCTTAACTAGATATATTTACAGAATTTGAAAAGTTGGTCAAAATAAATCAAACTGAGAAAATATTAAAGGAACCACAAGTTACGGAGCTGTAAACATTACAAAGTATACTGTTGGTATGAAAAAACTATAAACTACACTAGTTTTATTTTGCAAAACATGAAACTTTGGAATCCAAAAATTCATGACTTCACTAAAATATTTACTGAAATTTTTTTTTAATGGAGGCTCATATAATAATCCCAACTTTTAAAAATTATTCAGAAACTGCAGGAACCATATCCAAAGGTCACCAACTGTCAAAAGGATGTGTATCAAATAAGGGATATAACTCATACAATTCACATTTTTTGTTCTAGCTGAAAAGAAAAGTATATGAAGATAACATTTGGGTAACAAAATTGGCATATTAGAAGATATATCATCACCCTTAAATTGAAGTTAAAATAACAAAGGAAACTTTCTTAAGGAAAACAAACCATGAAGTAACATGGAAGATAATATTACTAATAAAAACAGAAAAGCTGTGTGAACAAAAAAATACATTTGTTTTACATTTGCCTCAAATTTATAAACATTCATTTTAGATAAGAAAACTTCAAACACCTGTATACAAAATCCATCTTAAGTTTATTTTGGATTAATACAGTAATATTTTCCATTTCTAAGTAGAATCACTATATAACTACTATTACCATTAAAAAAAATCTTTAGGGGCTGGGAT